CCAGGCTCAGGCCGGCAGGGGGCGCTGCGGCGAGCGGCGTGTGTCACAGGGAACCCGCCCCGCCGGGCTGCGGGGAAGGATTTGGGCGCCGCACCACAGAGCCCGGCCGCTGCTACCGGCTTCCGGCGTGTTGTCAGGTGAGTGGCCGGAGCAGCCCCGCCGATCCCCCCACCCCGCCATGGGCCGGGCCGGGCCGGCAGGGGGACGCGGAGCCCAGACCCTGCCTGGCTGAGGGAGCGGCCTGCAGCTGGGGGCAGAGCAGGGAGCGGCTCGTCTCTGGGCGGTGCCGGGGCCCCGAAGCGGCCCAGCGAGGCCCAGGGGCCGGGAGCAGCTCGCTGCAGCGCGAGGCCCAGCGCGATTCTCAGCTTGCTGCGGGCGCAGCCCCAGGGACGGCAGGTCCCAGCGGCCCCCCGAGTCCGGGCAGTGCTGGGTCCGTCGCCCTCCGCGCTGGCGCGCTCCCGGGATGGACCGTCGCCCCCCGCACCTGGCGTCCCACGGCCTGCGCTGCTTGGAACCGCGCGCTGCTGGCTGCAGGGCCCCCTCAGAGCGGGCCGCGCCGCGCCGCTCCGCGCTGAAGAGGCGGGGGCCCCGTGACTGGGTTCTGGGGCTTTGGCCAGCCCCTGCCTCCACCCCAGCGCTGAGCTGGCACTTTGGCTGGTTGCAGTCTGCGCAACATTAAACACCTCACCGACTTTTCACTGGGGCTTCACTTGTGAATAAAAACTTGAGACTTAAAAAGGGGAGACTGAACATACAGTGTTTATTGAACATACAACTGTGGCCAAAGGACTTTGGTGTTTTTGGAGACAAAAAGCAGCTTCAGGAGACTTAATAGGAACCAACCTGTTAATTTTTTGGGTTGTGGGGATTGTTTGGTTTTGTAAAACAGAACTGAGACTTCTTAGTTAGCAAATGATGCCTTAATGAAACTTGCCATGCAGTGCTCTTTGCTAACACACTACTAGCTAAATTCATGAAGTTTCCCATTTTTACCACAAAAAGCCACTAATGGTCAATATTTTTATGTTGTAATCTCTGGTTGGGTTTATTATGACCCTTCATCTGTAAGCTGTTGTTGAAATAAAATGATGGAAATATATCACTACCATCAATCCCTCATTTCCTGGTACAGTGATGTACCTTCCTTTAAGCAGTGATGTGAATTTGCAATTTTCAGCGCTGCCATTAGATGTCAGTATGGCACTAAGGAGCTAGGAGAGTTGCCGGATGTAAGACCATATACAATTCAATATTTATGTAGCATCCTTCTTACACAGCATCACAGAATGCTTTAGGGAAAAGAGAAAAGGAAGATTTACAGTTGGGGGTTTAAAAAAGAAATTGCCTCAGCTGACAGCATTCCAGTTAGTTGAGGCAGAATAAGTAAGAGTGCAAACAGGTGATGTTATTGAGAATATTATTGTGCTAATCACAAGCTGCAGGGGTTTAAATAGGAAGAAATAGGCTTTGTCTACATTAGCACTTTTGTTGGCAAACCAGTCAAGGGTGTGAAACCCTAACCCTAACCCTAACCCTAACCCTTTGACCAACGTAAGTTTCACCGACAAAAGTGCTAGGGTGGACAGTGCTATGTTGGCAGGAGATACTCTCCTGCCAGCATAGCTAACGCTGCTCATTGGGGTGGTTTAATTATGCCGGCAGGAAAGCATAGAATTAATGGCACATTGCAAGATTTAAATTAGTGTCCAAATGCTGAAACTGAGCAGTAGATGCAAAGAAGCTGTCCCATTATAGAACTTTTTTTGAACTATGTTGAAATTCCTCAAAAACAAACACATCTGCCCCATCTGATCAATATGTAAACCATGGCCATGACAAAATCTTGTCATTGCTGAACAACAGTATATGCAAGTGATCAATGCAGTGTTTCACACTAACTTTTCTGTGCTATCATCTCCAAGACTGGAAATAACCATTGTCTCAGAGACAGAGAAATCTTTGAAGCATATGGAAGTCTCTAAAAATTAAAATGTTGATTTTTTTTTAATGCCATTGGGCCAGAGCTATGGTTTTTATTAAAAAACAGATAAGGTTCAGTGACTTTTATTAATAATAATACTTTGTCCTTTTATATAATACCTCACATCTCAAAATGCTTCACAATTCTCCTGCCAGGTACTCTAGATAGATTGTTATCCACTTTTTTACTCTGAAGGAAGTGACTTGCTCATGGTCATACAACAGGTAACACGGGTAATTCCCAGTGCTTTTTCTAACAGTTACACACAGGGAACAAGAAGATACTCCAATGTATAGTGAAATGCATCCCAAAAATCCAATGTGTGCCTGGGTATAAGTCCCTCAGACAGTCTTTTATAGATGGGGAGATAGAATCTGCAGTAATTATGCGCAGAAGAAGGAGCCATATTTGGCTCACCTGGTGCACAGATAGTTTTATAATCACTTTTTGTTATAGTTTTGCACTTGCAGTAATTTAACAAAGGGTTTTTGTTAAAAAAAAAAATCTGTTTTTATTCTAAGACATATTTAGTCAGGGGAAGAGTTTGAACAGCTCATTTGAAACTGCATCAGATTAACATTATGCACAGAACTCATTTGTGAGTTCTGAGGAGGAAACCTAAACCCCACAAAGTTTTGCTTTGAAGGTTCTGTGTACATCCATGCCACAAAAAGTTTTTTTTCCAAAGACACTTAACAGTTTTTGTTAGTCCTTAAGATGAACTGTGTTAAAGGTGAAATGCAAAGATGAAATGAGCATAGCTCTTGGACAAAAGTAGCCCCATGTGAGAATAGAAACATGCTCACTGTACTCAGTATATATCACATTAGAATTCTGATGATCAAGGTGCTTGTTAGATATTTCATAGAATAGAAAAGGGATAAACTGGTATTTCACATATGTGTACATGTGCTCTTTGTCTTTTAATCAGCCCCTGCTCTTCATTATGCAGCTGTGACCAAATAATGTAAATATGAGGGTACTGACATTGTAGAGCAGTTCCTTTCTTGTTAACATACTCTGTGCTCTCATTGACATGTTCTTTACTAGTCTTACAGTGCAGTTTATTTGTGGACATTGTTGACATTTGTGTGAACATATCACAGTGCACTTAATGGCACATTAACCTAGCTGTGCAGATATGTTTTATAGATGGGATGTATAGTAACTAGACTATATGCATACGCTATTGAACCTCGCTACCATGAATTTCTGGCGTGCATGTCTTGCTCTTTCATCAGCTTATCAGATGAGAGGAGTAGCTGGTAAATAACGGTCTCCAGAAACTCACCACGATATAGTGTGAGGCTGTGGTTTCTCTGGTAGCAACAGTTAAGGTTGCAAAAGGTTTTCATTATTATCCCATATTTTCTTTTGCTCATATCTTTCCCCAAAATTCTCATTCTGGACTGAAAGTTTCCATGCTTGGTATATGTTCTAAGGCAGGGGTCGGCAACCTTTCAGAAGTGGTGTGCCGAGACTTCATTTATTCACTCAAATTTAAGGTTTCGCGTGCCGGTAATGTATTTTTTAACATTTTTAGAAGGTCTCTTTCTATAAGTCTATAATACATAACTAAACTATTGTTTAATGTAAAGTAAATAAGGTTTTTAAAACGTTTAAGAAGCTTCATTTAAAATTAAATTAAAATGCAGAGCCCCCTGGACTGGTGGCCAGGACCTGGGCAGTGTGAGTGCCACTGAAAATCAGCTCATGTGCCGCCTTTGGCACGCGTGCCATAGGTTGCCTACCCCTGTTCTAAGGTGATTACTTAAAATAAGTTTCAAGTAAATTCTTTGTCATGTTTGGGTTATGTGTCTCTGAAAGAAAAATTCCCACTTTAAGAACATTCAGGAGATTGTCTTTCCACTGCTGATCTTTTAAAAGTAGTCTTCCTCAAGGAAGGAGTTGTTAAGTTGGAAAAAGAATTGGGTGGAAAATAACAAAATCAATGCATGTGGGATTGAGTACAGTAGGAATTTTCCACTGCTTGCAAAATGCATATTTAAATGTTTGCTGGATACAACTGACTCACTTTGGTTTTTGTCAGATATAAAATGGCTTATAACTTTTGGGAAAATAATAATAATCATATTTATTATGATAGTGCCTGAGGGCCGAACAGTAGTACTGTACAAACAAAAGTAGGATTGTATCCGTTTGGGATTGAAACTTCACATTTTTGGAAATAAAGGGGAATTTTCTTGGAAATGGATTGATTTTGCCTTTTTGAATTACGGGACAGAATAGCAGCTTTTTTACTTTCAACTCAGAAATTATCAGTGTTACAAACTCTATGCAAGGCATGTTATAGCTAGCCCTCAGAGGGAAAGAGACCCATGAGAAGTTTGATAAAAATTCGCCACATAATTGAAAAATATTTTTTCCAATAAGCAATTGCTGCAGTTGCCAGAGGGACATTACATGAGTGTGAATGGGAGGGAGATGGTCTCTCTGCTAAGCTGTGGTCCATGTGGGATGTGGAAATGTGGCACAGTTAACATTGCTTTTAAAATGCTTACCTTTTGCATTTTTCACTCTTTAGTGAATTTAACTGTGCAACCCTAATTTACATTAGTGGAGATGTTAGCAAGTGTTTATGGCCCCATTTCAGGAAAGCAATTAAGCATGTGCTTAAATTCATCCCTCTTCAGGTTAGCACTTAAGTACCTGCTTAACATTAAGCATGTGCTTAAATTCCATTGACCTCAGTGGGACTTGTACATGTGTTTAAGAGCTGTCCTGAATTAGGGACTAAGTATGTAGAGAAATGAGTAAACACTAACAGGTTTGTTTAATTCCTTTTAGTGGTATACAGAGGTGGAATTACTCTGTCATCACTGAACAGGCAACACATGCACTATCCTCCTCCTTGGGTAAGTTTGCTGGTCCACTAGACCTAAATTTATTTAAGCTAATATTGACGGGTAGTTCTGCAAGCTGGATGGCTCTGTTTTCATAGTTTGACAGAGAAATTTAAAAAATAAACTCTGCTCTGAAGATCAATTTTATCATGACTTGTCTGGTGTAGAGTTTGTTCATGATGGGACTGCACCAGATCAAAAAGCACATGGAGCATGTTTGCAGGGTGTTCTACTAGCATATTTTGTGCATGTAGATGCATTGAAGCAAACCTGAACATAGGCAAAGTCACAGCTGTGAAAGCTTGTAGCAAGAACTTGCTCACAACCATTATTGTTTATATGGCCATTCTTACTGGTGATATCCTTTTGAATGAGCTGTGTTTTATGATATAGCGGTCATATCTGGGAACAGATTTGGGAGGTTCCTATACCTTTTGATCTGTGGACTTCATATGTGATTCCCATTGGCATTGCAAAGGTTGGATTCATCTGTGTCCGAAGTCATGCCATTTCATTTCATGATCCAGAATGTTAGAGTGAATTTCCATATTTAGTATATTCAGACTCCTTTGAAAAGAGTAGAAGCCCAATTGGAGAAGATTAGAGGATCTCACATGTCCATGCTAAGCAAATAGGATATCAGTTTATAAGGTCTCTTCAAAATGACCACCTCATTCCAGTTCCTCATAGACATAGTAAATTGCAGGGATTTGGAGCAATCAAATTTTTGAATTGCTCTGCTCCGGCTCCGCTCCAGCTCCGGGTATAAAACCTACTGGTCCACGCTCCAGCTCCGCTCCAAAGCCCCTGGTAAATTGTGTAGAACTTAGTTTATCTGCCTTGGAAGGGCGACACTGAGCTATTGGAGCTTTGGTTTCAAGTGTGTGTGTGTGTGTGGTTCTAGGTATTTTTAATCTGAAGTTTAGACAACTAAGCCATCCACCTAGCAGGGCCTGTGGATTAAAAAGTAACCCAAAGACATTTGCAAAGGAGCAATTCACAAATTAGCTCTATTTGATTTATTTTTCCCTGTTGTTCAAGTGGAAATGAAGTGTGGCATAGTCACTAGAAATGCCATAAAAATCTGATTCCATTCTGAGCACAGTCACCACTGTACATATTCTAAAACTTCATCTTTAATTTCACTAGGGGGCGGACTTTCATATTAAAAATATTTGGACTGCCACACAGATCAGTATTAGCAAGATTACATTTCTGTTAGAGAGATAGATACTGATGTAAACATAATTCTTAATTTGACGTTCTGCAGAGTACAAAGTTTAGGGTCTGGGATATATCATTCATACTCCGTGTGGGAGGTACTAGCAGTCTATCAGCGAATTATCACACTTTCTTAACTATGGATTTAATTACCTAAATAATTGCTTTTATCAATGTCGTTACACTATGGATTGGCATGACCCCATACATGTGTTCACTTGAGAGCTGTTACAGTTCCTTTTGTATTTTTTAATGCTCCCATTGCCATTTCTTTAAAAAAAAAAAAATCCTCTTTAAGTATAGAGCACCAAAAATCACCCCCATTAACTCTTGGGTTCTAATCCCAGCACTGACTTCCTCTATGACTTTGGGCAATTCATTTAATGTCTCTTCTTCAGATTCCCATCTATAATATGCAGGATAATAATTCCTACCTTACAAGGAGATTGTGAGAATGAATTAATTAATGTGCATAAAGTGCTTTGAAATTGAAAAGTGTTTATATAAAGTGTTAAGTATTATTAAAGTGTTGAGAAAAGTGGCAAAAGCCAGGAAAATCAAAAGTAAGACAAGTGCCCTCCTTAACTCTTACCAGTGAGGGGTGTGATTTTGTTTTTTGTTCTTTTAATACTTTAAAGTAAAGGCAAGTAATCTGCTTTAGCTTTGAATTTCCTAGCTATTGTCTCATAAGACCAGCCTTATTCGCATTTAGGAGTCATGTCTTTTCTGTGAATATACTCTATGACTTACTGACATTGATTTAAAAAAAAAAAATTCATACCCACTCAGTTTAATTTGATACAGTTTCTGAATAATTCACATTGGATCATACCCAGATTGAGTAGTGTTACTTAAGTAAATGGCACTTACTTCATATACCAGACCCATGGCTGTATAACATAAATCTTAATTTCAGTGCATCGCTTTACTCTAACTGTAAATTCCCTCTCCAGTTTCAGTAATATTCATTAGTTGCTGTATAGCCATTTTCATCTACAGACCTCAAAGCACTTTATAAAGATGGGCCAGTATTTTTATTTCCTTTTACAGATGGGGAAACTGAAGTACCGAAAGAGATAGTGAATTGGCCTAAATCATACAATAGGTCGGTGACAAAGCTGGGAACAAAACCCAATTCTTCTCTGTCTACTGGGCCACACTACTTCATAGTGTCTTTCTGCAGAGCCTCTCAGAAATGCTTCAGAGCCTCTTAAGAAGTATGCATTATCTGGATTACGCAGATGGTGAGAGGTTATGTGACTTGCCCGTGGTCACTGAGGACACCTGTCTCTGAACCCACCATGGAATTCATATCTCCTGGCTCCAGATCCTGTGCTTTAGCCACCAGATCATTCTTTGTTTTATGCCTTAAAGAGTTCTGTCATTTGCTGTGAACTCCTAAAATGCTACAGGTCTGTAATTTTATTTTTGGGATGCAAACTAATTTTTAAAGGTGAAGTACTGCCCATCCTATCCCCTCCCCTCTCCTGCTTTCCCCAGGTTTTCTCTGGTAAGAAGGGGAGGCCTCTAGCAGACCCCTTCTCTCCCTCTAATATTGCTCCATAATCATTGTAGGCAGGGAGTGCAACAATTTGGAGAGGAGGGGAGAGAGAGAACTTACTGCCCACAAGTCCTCCCCTACTTCCACTGATCAGATGGTGGCAGTGGGAGGAAAGCAGGAGCTGAGCTGAGCCCTGATGTGACTGACTACTGAACTGTGGGAAGGATGGGGTCTTGAGCCCCTCGCACAGACCTCCAGGCAGTTGATTGGCATGAGCCAAGAACTGATGGAACTGTAACCCTGTTCAGCAGGGACTCAACTGGCCAGCCTTGCAAAGTGGAATTCTCCTACTCAGGGCAGTTGAAGACCATGGCCAGGGCTTTAAAAGCATTTAATTCCTGCAATTGTGTTAAAAGCTTGGGCTTCTGAACTCATAAACAGCTTCTTAGCTTTGTTCCAGAGGTGGCTGCTTTTCAGTGAGAGGCAAAATGAATAATGTATATATTGTTCTGAAATGCTTTGGGACATTCCAGAATGAAAGGTAGTGTCGGCATGTAAATGTTAGATGGTATTATCACAATCATCATTGTATCTTCATCTTCTAAGAAAAAATTCTTTTGTGCCAGAAGGGCAAACGTGAAATGGCATAAGCACAGATTTTCCAGATAGGATTCTGAGGTGACATTTTTTATAGCATATTCACACTTAGGTGTAGGAAGGGGGTGGTTTTAACTCTTTCTGAAGGGCTTTACCCTCATGATTCCCATCAGTGATAACAGAATTTGAATGACAAAAACTTGTATCTCAAAAATTCTCCCCTTACTTACATACTATGCCAAGTCACACTTACTCATCCTCTCCCTACTTTACCACACACACAAGGTGGGCATTGTGGAACAAAATCATGGAGTATGGTTCTCCATATAAGCTGGTGAAGGGAAGCCCCAGATGCTTGTATGAAATACTTTTCTCTGCTCTGGAGTACTGTCTCCTACAATATTTTTCTCACAGTTCAGTTCCACAAACTAACTGGAAAGGCTAGTTTAGTTTTATGGCACAGTTTATATTTTGGTTTGCATCTTTCTTTGAAGACTCATCTGAGTTGTATAATGACATGTTTGCATGTGTTAGCCAATAACTTAACAATGACATATGGGTGTTAAATGTCATTAATATGCACCAGCATCCTCCTTCCTTGAGGGCTGTAATCAGTTCCAGGTACCATCTGATTTTTATTTAAACAGACTGCTACAGTCCTTAGTCCCATCTACAGTTACATTTCAGTATTGTGCTTAGAATGTTCTGCCAAGTTCTTCTCCTCATTTTTAGTATACATCAGCAATGGTGCAACTGTTTAGGATCTAGAGACAAATGGGGGTGTTTCTGGTGGAGTTCCAAGGATGGAGTAATGATGGTAACTTCTTGAGCACCTCTTTAAAGTTACTGGGAGAACCAGTGCCTAAGGATTTTGAGTCTCATGTATTTTCGTTGGTTTCAGTACACCCTGCTGTGCTGATGTGGACAGGCAGCGGCAGCCACTGCACAAAGTTTTATACATAAGTAAGTGTTTGTCTGAAAAGAAAAAGTGCTAAAAGCTATTTGGAAGAAAATAGGGCATGTGCTAGTAAAAAAGGGGAAAAACAGGAGAGGAAGAGAGGGATTGGCTGTTGGTTAGAGGAAAACATGGACTTTGTCATCTGGATTAGTGCAGGAAAATGGCAGGGTCTAATGTGATAATGCAAATTGAGTGAGCTGCTTTCTTGTCACCAGCAATGCTCCTTTGAGTGAGATCTAAGCCCCGCAATGAGTAGAGAGGAGTTGTTTAGATAAGAGCTCAATGGTTTTGGCAGCCTGACATGGAATAGACTAAATACCAAAGAGTAAATAGCTCTAAGCAGAACAAATGCAAAACTTTTGGGAAATATTTAAAGAAAGTAAAATGAATAAATAATTTTGTGTACCGTGTCCAGAGTGATTTCAAAACACTCTTGTTTCTCGTCCAAATAAATGCTTCTTTCAGCCAAGCAGAACTCTTTCTCCATGATTTATTACACCAGTTAAGATATAAGCCCTGTGTGCAGAGCTGTCAGTTTAACAGAACAGCTTTCTTTCTCCTTTCAGATTTAAGCCACATGTTGTATCAACAGAGTCTTTGCCTCTGCTCAGTTATGAGTTATCACTATTTTTTAAAAGCAAAAATATGTGACTTTTAATAGTCCCATTTAGGGATGTAAAAGGTTAACCGGTAAGCATTAGGCTTACCGATTAACTGGCCTTAACTGTTAACCCC